CATTGAACCTATAACACCCCCGCTTGTCATCAGCAGGATCGAAGGGGAGGTGTGTATGAGGGGGGAGGGGAGCAGGGGGGTGTCACTAGAAATTAATTTAATCCTATTTACAAGGGTGATGGGTATGATACACATGCAGCAGCGGCAGCTGAAGTCCACAGAACCGGCGGGGGATTGTGGGCGGTTCTCACACAAATGGGTCTAGTCCAGTGGTGGCGAACCTTGGCACTCCAGCTGTTTTGGAACTACAAGTCCCAGGAGGCATTGCAAGGCTCTGACAGCCACAACTCCCAGAGGCAGATGCATGTTGGGATTTGTAGTTTTGGCACAGCTGGAGTGCCAAGGTTCGCCACCACCGGTCTGGTCAGTCCGATGGACCAGAGATGCTACAAAAAGCGCAGCAGCCGTATCCATATACCGGGCTCGGGGTTCAGTTACCCCAAAAACATAACAGTCTGAAGAACAGCGCAAAAGAGAAAAATGACACCGACTCCTTCGTCGGGGTGCCTCCCTGAAGCTAGTTTCACTTGATTAGTAAAAATAGGAACTCAGAGCAGCAGTTTTCTGACTAGTAAAAGGGAACAGAAGACATCTGAAGTCGTCCACTCCTACGCAAGACATTGACTTTAAAACGTTTCAGCTCCCTTACTGGCCATTGATGGACTCTCATTGGAAGGGGAGGTAAAAGAGAAATAAAGCTCATTATCAGAGTGAAACCAGTGTCAGAGGGGTGCACCAAACGACCAAAGGCAACAGCCGCTAATCCTTTAAAGGAGAACTATGAGGGGCGGGCGCTTTTCACTCACCTCATAGTTCTAGCTGACATGTGACAATGAGACTGTCACAGGTCGGCTCAGTAGATGGGGAGGTGAGCGAACACATACCGGCGTTCGCTCACCTCTCGATCCTGTCACGGCTCTCTGCTGTGACAGGGGACGGGCTGGGTTCCCCCCTGCAGCGCTGACTGGCGGAACGGACGGGGGAGGGGGCGGGTACAGCTGGCTCTGCCTCTAGATAGGCAGAGCCAGCTGTCACTCACGCAGCTGGGCGTATCCTGACATAATTGTCGGTATCCGTTCCGGCTGCGGCGCCTCAGTATACCGCGAGCTACAGCTCCCTATATACTGAGCTTAGGGTGACGGGAGGACGCTAGTTTGTGTCCTCCCGTGACCCTGAGGAGAACTATGGGGAAAAGCCCTGACCCCCTAGTTCTCCTTTAAGACAGAAGTATAATAAAGTATAAAATGATAAAATGATGGATTTGTTCGAATTCTCCTGTGCACGGGCAGATATTGCAAATATATATGTATACTGTAAATATATACGGTATAT